AACACTGATTGTTTATGCATCTCATTTTATACCCAGTGCTATCAAAGTCATTGTAACTAAAGTATTATTTATTTCTTATAATACCAAGATAAATAGATGCCATTCTTCTAAATTTATGATTGCTGTTAATAGATTAGAGTATATAAAACCTTTTATATTGTAGTTCATAGCAATTTTATAACAATAATAGTTGGCTGGCTTAGACAAGAGAGACACTAACTTTATCTTCTATGATATTTATTTGGTAAAGGAGGAGAGAAAAACAGAGAGTGGAGGAGGAGAGGATGTATAGCTATGTGAGGGAGGAAAAAGAAGAGGGAGAGGGAGAAGAAGGGGAGAAAGAAGAAGAAACAGAAAAATGGAGAAAGGATGAAAGAGGAGGGATGCAGCTTTCTATGAATTCTCTAGCTGGTGATACTTTGGTGGTGACTTGCATTTTAGATATAAGGTAAATTTAGGAAGACATTCTAATTGGGTAATTTTTATAAATGCTAAGGTTGAACAGACTAAATCAAAGGACCTATATAATTAAGTAAAATTAGCCCGACTGTTTCCATTTCTTTATATAATTTATCGTGAACTCTCAAGCTGGCACAAAATGTTTTTCATCCTAGCATAGGTTAACCTCCTTAACTCTTATTCGCCTTTAAAAATCACGAGACATCAACATATAAGTACTTGAAATATATTAAAATAAATGAAATTCATTTTATCATAATTCTTATGTGCCCTCTTTGTTGAAAATGCACATAATCTGAGAAATTTAAAATAATTTACTCTCTGTTACCACTTCAAAGTACCCATATATTTGTTTAGATTATAAACTCACAATGTGAGCAGGTTTATTTTAATGTGATATGAGAAATAAATAATAGTAATGTTTTATTAATGAAGAGCAAATGTGATTTTTCTTCTGAATGCAAGAAGGATAACCTCAGTTGCTCAGTCTTGTTACAGTGCTGTCTCAATCGATCTGTGTTCATCCCAAGAAATAGATAAACATGGACTTTATTTCATTTTTTAAAATGTAATCAGCAGTCATGGCAAAGTTTGAGACATAAAAATAATACCATATCATGACACACTTCTGGGACAGGGTATCATTTCAAAGCATGTCCATCAATTAATGTGGCCCACAAATCATTGGACATTTTTCACAGCTGGCATAAAATTATGAATGGAAAACACACTGTTGGTCAATCTTTTTTTTTTTTTTTTAAATATCCTAACATTTACTTTGGTCATATTTTGATGAGTTTTAAAATGACTCCTAGACATTGTTTTCTGAGTATTTCTAGAAAGTTCCTATCACAAAATAAAATGGGGTCATGAAGCATATTAAAGTCTGATAAGACATTTTATTTCAATTATCTAAACTTGTTTAAAATATACATACTCCTGGTCCATTCATCAGAAAGCCTAATTCAATAGGCATGAGATGGACACAAGAAACAACCCCAAAAGTAAATTTTCTACTGCAAACTTAGAAACTATTACTCATAGCAGTCACTGTTTCAGTCTTAACATGTTAGGCAACTGGGGCGTTGTGTAAATCAGGTCTCTACCCTAATTGCAATTTAAACATTTATTTGATCACAGAGATACTGCAATGAAAGTTTATCTGTACTAAAGAGGATTAGTCAATTACTTGACCTCAATTATGAAAATAATCTCTACATTTGACAGTTTCATAAATATAATGGATTACAGAAGAGATTCACAAAATTTATAACATTCATAATATTATTTTTCCATGTACTTTGCAAACTGTGAGTTAAATCTATGGATATTTTCTCTGTGTCGCTTAGAGGTCCTTACAGCTTTATACAGAGCGCCTGATTTCTCACTGACGGCAGTAGTGACTCACACTCCTCTTTCCATGCTAGAAGAGCAGTGAGCTAACCTCTGTGTTCTTATTTTGGCATTGTTACAGACCTGTTTTCATGAAGATGCACTAAGCTTAATTTATTTTTGGGGCACTTTGAGAGCTACCTCAAAGGTTGCTATTTGAAATGCACAAACCCTTCCGACTCTGAGCACAGCCAGACGGGACAAAAGCAGATGCAAGCCTAGTATGAACAGGTGAAAGATCAGGCAGACCGTGTACTTCCTTGAATTCAGTAATGAACCAGGCAGGCATTAGCTCATATTTTCAACCAAATCATTTATCACAACCCTATATTCCTTGTGTGGGATGCATATCAATGTAAAATTTTTGTGAGATAATCTATAAAGAAGAATAATATTTTTTCTCTTTTTTACTTAATCTAGAATATACTTTAGCCAGGAAAAAAAAAAAAAAAACAATGGAAATAAATCGAAAGCTAAAATTACACACTCAGTCCTTTACCTGCTTGACCAACGGTAGTCAGGAATATTTCCTGCGCTGACATTTGTTAAAAACCAGCTAAGAATTATAATCATCCAGCTACTTCCAACATATTTCAGGAATTCTGAAACTGTCATGGCACTCTTCCCCATCCAACTTTAAGAAAGGAGTTCTTATTTACTCCAAATAAGAGACACTGGCTTAGCTTTTTAGCTCATTTTTCTCCAGCTTTTTAAAAGCTCAAGAGTTGATCACTCTTCTATTTAAAATAACTTTTCAAACATGAGGTCAACCTTGGCTCTACCCTTATTAGACTAAGAGATTTGGGGAAATAATAACGCCTTACATTTTGCAGCATAAAAATGTTAAACATAATTAATATTTATGTTTATAGAATTTTTGCAGCAGCCCTTAAACAATTTTTATCTGTTTTGAATTAGTTCCTTCTCTTCACAACCCAGTAAGAATATTTTATACACCACAGACTATTTTGTTATGTGTCAGACAGGAAAAAAAGCACACTAAAAAGTCACCTTGTAGTTATAAAGAAAAACTGAGACAATATATATGAAAATCTTTTAAAATTAATACAGCATTGCTAAAGCACAAGGTCGCAACATAAACAATATTTCCACGTTTCTGCTTTTCTCATTCTCCTGTGATGGCTTTACTCCTTGCATAGAACCAGCCCTATTTTATTTTTAACTTTTCTCTCCAGATCTCAAAAAGTACACTAAGGTAAATAAAACAAAATTAAACATAAAAATTCAGAATACATTTCATGCCAAGGACAAGATAATTACAACTAATTCTTATTTGGTAATGTCTTATTTTTATTTCTCAGTTTCCTCTTTCCTTTTTAAAAAATGGCATGCAATGATTAAGATGTATGAGTGTTATGTCCACTAAAACTGTATATTTTCATTCTTTTCTGCAACACAGTTTCTGTTAAATCTTTCTTGCTCTCAGCAATGAAGTTTACTTTTCTTTCCCACATGGTTCTCGTAGTTCCTTCTGATGAGTTTCATCTGGTACTTTGTGCAGCTTAAGGCAATTTACAGCTTAGTCTATATATTTTTTTTAATAACAATTATTTCTGACTCATATTAAAAGCCCAAGAATTTTCTGAGGAATAAATGAATAAGTGGAAAACGATTTAACATTTCCAATTTTTAGAAACTCAACAGAACACATGCGAGCACATTTGTTTCTTTGTTTTTTAACTTTCCAATAAAGCCCAACATTTATTCTTTTCAACAAACAAGCTGGATGATGTTGCTGGTTAAATCTTTGTTGAAAGAAGTAATAAAATATGTTCCATCTAGCTGGCTGCCGCGGCACACGCCTGTAATCCCAGCATTTAGGAGATTGAGGCAGGAGGACCACCAGGAGTTCAAGGCCAGCCTGGGCTACACAGTGAGTTCAAGGCCATTTTGGACCACATAGTGAAATTCTGTCTCAAAAAGATTAAAAACTCAAAAGTATGCTCCATCTGCTTGGCATTTGTCACCTCCTACAATTTGTGAGTTCAACAAAAAATAAGGCAAATGGGAGGACAATGACTTGCTAAAAAGATCCAGGAGCTAGTAGGGGTAGAACTGTGATCTAAGCCCACACAGACTAAATCTTTATTATGATATAGTCATTTCAAAGTAAAAATGTAGGGTTGGGGATTTAGCTCAGGGGCATAAGCACCTGCCTTGCAAGTGCGCAATCCTGCATTCGATCCTTGGTACCAATAAATAAATAAATAAATGAGTGAATTTTAAAAAATGTATTATTTTCTCAGAAAACTGGAATTTTTGTTGAAATATCAATTTATTATGAAAATTTTCTTTATTTCCAATCACACAGAAGACACTTTTGTTAAGGGTTCTCAGTTTGTTTGTTCACTTAGCACTATGTTCTTTTTTTTTTTTTTTTTTTTTTTTTTTTTGTCTTTTTCCTTTTTATCGGTACCGGGGATCGAACTCACGACTGCCTGCTTGCAAGGCAGGTGCTTATGCCACTGAGCTAAATCCCCAGCCCCAGCACTATGTTCTTAATTGCAGATGATCTGAGGTCTGTATTACTGCGTGCAAACTAACTTGATTTGCAACATTAAAAAATTTTTATTGGTACTTTTGTTAGGGGGCATTGCTGGGAACTGAACTCAGTAACTTATGCTTCCCAGGCAGGTGCTGGGCCACTGAGCTAAATCCCAACCCCAAATAGTTTTTAACATTTTTTAACAAAGATACTTTCCTAAAAGCACCAACCCAAACCTACCAATTACCTTTCTTGACTTGAAATTCAGTAAAAGAACGATTCTTAAATAGCTCTGGAACCATAAAACACTTTTAGCAACTTAGACACAAACCTAGAATGTGAAGAATCTAATAGTCCTCAAGAATTTCTTTAATCACAGTACAGATTTACTTGTGATACACATGAATACAACATTATAATGTTTGAAGGGACTATCATTTGTGTATGTTATACTGACAAACACGTTACAGGAGTAAATTGTAGTTAAATTTTATTATATACGTTGTAAATATTTCAGACTTCTCCGAAAAAAGACAGGCACTTAAGCCTGCATAAACTATAGGAATCATCTTGTCTATAAGATAAAGGAATCCTTTTAAAAATTAAAGAAAATGACATATAACTTACAGAGATAGTTTCATACCTGTTTTATTGGAAAGTCTAAATGACATCATCTTATCAGGAATATTGCATACATTCCTCACTGACGCAATGCAGCTATAATTAGCATAGTCCTGAGGTCGAAGATTCTTTAGTTTTAGGATCTTTGTTTCACCCTGAAAATGTGGAGAAGCTCATTAGAAAACAACTAATTGCCAGTAACATGAATCAATAAATCATAGCACTGTATTTTAAGAAATCCCACTAATACAGAATATGGCAGATTCTTTTTAAAAAGAACATAATCTAAATTTAAAAAGAAACATTCCTTTAAAAATAATACTAATATGCCTAGAGGTAAAAACTAACAGAGTATCATGAAAATTCATAACATTTCCTTTGCAAACTATGTTCCTAGGAGAAAAAAAATCTATTTCTGGTGGTAGTTATGCAAATTATTATGCAAAGATCAGAACAGTACACTTAATAATTGAGTTTATTCAACAAACACTGTGATCTTTGCAGACTTCATCATGAAACATTTATGAAAGAGAATGCTAAAGGATAGTCAATAAATGAAATACTGTTTAGAGCACAAAATTAATGAAATAAATCTAATGATATATAATTAAATTTATATGGATAAATATTTTGCTTATGCAGAGCGGTGGCAGGTGACAGGTTAAAAATGTATGCACGAAGTATGTTTCTATATTCTTATTGTTCTTTTGATTCTGTTTGTTGTTGGTCAGGAGTTCAAGGTTATGTCTGCCAGATAAAGTTATAGATGGAGGCATGTCACAAAAGTGTCCCAAAATGTTTTATAAACTGATGGGCCAGTAGGGTATAAAGCATTGAACTGAAATTGTTCAAACAGTAAAAAAGGAATAAATAAACAAATATAAAAAGAAAACCCTCCTGCTCGAGTCAAATTATGCCCCCAGGATCTCTGCCTCTTTGCCATTAATATGTGCTTACTTGAAACATTTCCTCTCATAAGTAACTTACTGTAATAATGGCACAAAAGGCCTCAATGACTTGAGTTTTGAAACAATTTTCAGCAAAACACTGCTTTTTCTCAGCTAACATCTGAGATAATCTGTATGAAACAATGATTTTTTTTTTTTCCACATAACTTGGGTAACAGTAGTCCAGTCCTATAAATTGCAATAGTTCCATATGCTAGAGAGAAGAACTGGAATATTTAGTGACTTAATTCATAAAAACACTGCTTTCCGTATGCAAAACACTTGCCTAAACATAGAGCTTTCCCTGTGTGTCCAGGGAATCTCTACTTTAGGCCACATGGCTTTACAAACCAAAATCCTCTGTGGTCACTATCAAGATTCAGATTGAAATCAGTCACGGTTTTAGCACTGTCCACAGAGGAATACCATAGTCTTTGGTTTTATTACTCACATTATGAAGTGACTCCCACAGTCAAGCTAACTAATGTACTCATCAGCTCACTCATTGTAGCTACTTTTCTTTTTCACTTTTTAAAAAATAGGAAACATATTCACATGGACTCCCTGTAAAATCACAGGAATGATAAGCTTTCAGCAAGACTTAGACTTTTTCTGTACTGTACAAATACAGATAAAGTCTGAGTGTTTTAGAACATTCTTAAAACATACCCTCTTATGCTAGAGTTCATACACACAAATTCCTTAAAATGCAGTAAAAATGTTCTTGGAGGCACTGAAGCAGAAGTTTATATTATGTACCCAGTCGACTGAGACAATTTTCAAATAATGGCTACATCCCACCTTTCCTAGCTCTGTGTCTCCACAGATCATTCAGATTCGGGGCTTTATGTATTTATTTATTTATTCTCTTCCTGCCACTTGTCTATCACTTACCTATTCCCTAAGATTGTAATCCATCTGGTCTGATTATCCCCATTATTACACGTCCCTGGGTGATGCATTATCCTCCTTGAGAAATTTCTAAAAGTCCTATTTTCCTGCTTTTTCCCAAGTATACATTCTTATTCCAGGATTCTCCCTTAAGTTTCAGATAATTCTGTGTGCATTTAATGCTTCACAGATACTTAACACTCAGCATATCCTAAACTGAACTTTAAACTCTTCCTGTGCAGCCATCTTCCTTCCTTAGTATCACGTACATTAGATTTAGTAATGTCTTTGTACTTATTCAGTTCCTGTCTCTACTAGACCCTTATATTGACCTCTAAACACGTTCAAATTCAGCTATTACTTTTAATCTATTTTTAACTGTATATTCAGCTGAAAACTTCCCGTATTCAATGTAGTTTAGGGATATAAGTAAGTGGAATGGTTTGTACTTAACTAGGATTTTTCTCAGCTTTTATAAAATATAATAGACAGATTTTTTTTAAAAGTATGTATTTAAGATAGACAGTTTGGGGACTGGGGATTTAGCTCATCGGTGTAAGCGCCTGCCTTGCAAGCAGGCAGTCGTGAGTTCAATCCCTGGTACCGATTAAAAAAAAAAAAAAAAAAAAGATAGTTTGATATTTTAATAAAGTTATATATTGTGAAGTAATCACCACAACCAGCCTAATTAATATGTCACTTTATAAAGTTATCAGTTACTTCAAATTTTTAAAATAAGAAATTTAATTGTGCTGTCTTGCTGCTGAATCACACAGGTCAATTGCTATTGTTCTCACGCATAAGCACACATAATAGCATGTCTTCCAAATTCCATGTAGCCCATTCTCCTTGTGTCTCTGGCCTTAGTTCATTCTCTTACTGCCTAAACACATGCAGAGTTCTTTTTCTACAGACTCTTTATCTCTCTACTTAACCAGCTATATCTAGATCTTGGATTATAAATCCCTTCCCCTTCACAGGGAAGTAGACCCTCACCTCCTGGAGTTTAGACATGTATCTGTTTCTTTTTAATAGCTTCATTCTCATGCATACTGAGGCAAAGAATTTATTTTCTTCTAGGTTCTTCACTTTGCCAAGAAATACCTGTAGGGTAGGACTGTCTATTTGCTTTCCTCTTTAGAGTATTATATTCACTGAACAGGATTTAGCATAGGAAGATACCATTTAAATTAATATCTTTATCAATTAAATATTCTGTAAATAGGGACTTCGTTAACATATATTTATCTTGTAGAATTTACCACTTGGTTGGCAATTAATATGAACTCAATAAATAGGTGCTAAATACATGAAATATAATCAGAGATTATAAAAACATAATGAAAAATGTCTTTACTGTCTTATAAATAAGCAATAATAATTTGTGTAAATAACAAGAAAGGAAAAATATGTATTTATTTATTAATAGTTTGTCTGGATTACTTTTATTTTTGGAAAGGATTTAAGGTAAAATTTCATAATCAGGTGAAATTTTAATCTTACCTACAAGAAATAAAGTTTTTAAAAAAGAAATATAAATGACAAATAAATAAAAGTATACATATATAAACATGTATATATAAGGAAATAACATAATTAAATATTTTATATATAGTTATCCATAATAGTTATATGTAATTATCTTTCATAATTCTAAAACAAAATAACTACTATTCTTTTTCAAAGTTTTTAAAATATAGAATGGATATTCTAGAAGAAGTCATACAGTTACAGTGATTCTTAAATATATAAATAGATGAACAGTATCACTTATAATATTAAATGATAAAAGTTTCTTTATTCAGCATAGAGTTAATTATACTCCATTAAATCTTCTCTTTCCATTGACAAATTACTGTTTAATTTATATTTTCTTTTTTCTTTTATTTAAAGAGAAACAAACAAAAAGTACATGGAGAAAAAAGGGTAGAAATAATACAGAATTACAGTAAAATAAAAGGTAATAAATCAGTTGATAAGTTACATATTGTCATCTTAGAAATAGTTGCTCGGGTTACAAAATTAAATGTGTAAAGTGACATTCAAATAGTAACACTGCCAACAGTTCTGCTCAATGATCAAACAAAAACTTAGTAATATGGTTATCAGTCCTACACACTTGTTTTTATATTAAAGAGGGTAAGATTAAACATATCAAAACAGAACAAAACAGTTCAAAAAGAAACAATTTAAAGAAATACAGATTTCAAAGCAAGTCCACTGGAGATCTTCACTGTTTATCTAATTGTCTCTAGTTTCTTATCAAATAGTTGTCCCCGTCTTCATGCACATTAAATACATACTGCATATTACAAAACTAATCAAATCATTACAGGATGATGAAGGCTTTTTAGGTCTTCAAGATCTGACATTGGGGAAGACAATAATCACTACCATAGTGCCTCTCATTCTCTTCATAGTAGCTGTCCTTATCTTTACATATGCTGAAACTGAATTTAAGAGACTAGACTAATATCACTCTGAACAGTGAATAATAGTATTGCCACAGAATTAGCAATGGGTTTTTTAGTGTCTCTTCTTCACAATATCTGTTCATTGCATCTTGCATTATGTAATCTGTTCGCATAAATAGTTTAAAAAATCTTCCCATGTGTGAATTTCTACATGTGTATCTATCCTCTCTGTATTATAGGGAAAAACAAATCATAACAAGACAGCAAAACAAATTTCTAGAAAAACATGCAATTGAAAAAGACACATAAGACCACAATATTAGTGACCTACCGTAGTTACTATTCCTTCTCTTGTTATTTTCAATAGACTTGTCCACATCATCAGGCTTAATATAGGTAAGCATAGTATTGCATAGCTATTTTTATAAAAACACAACTTTAAAAACATTGTAGGACTTGAGAGCTGTTAATAATTGAAACCGGTATGGATACTTTTTACATCTTGTCATCTTCAGAGTAGTTGCCTCTACTTTTAGGGTTGATACTATCAAGCATACCAAATTCAAATAAAATCAGCCAAGGCAAAACCAAGGTCCAATGAATTGGATTCAAATAAGATCAGTCATAGTAAGACAATGTAAGTAATACAGGGTTTCAGTTTAAGTTAATAGGAAATTACGGATAGTCATCATGGTATAACCTGCTATTTTTGGGTCAGAGGTCTGTGTCCTCAAATCTTATATGAGTGGACAGACCAGAACAAATTAAATTCAAGCTAAACAGAGTGATAAGACTACTGTGACTTTTAAATCCTGATACACTATTAACAATGACCTCTGCCTTTTTTATATAGTGTATCAAAGCTATCTATACTAAAGGTTATAGTTTACCATCTCTGCCTCA